AAGGTAATTAAACATTTTAGTATTGTGTCTTCTAAGTTTTTATTAGGAAGGAGAATGTATGCACTAGGTTCTGTTAATTTTAAGTCAGTTATATCTCTGCCCTGTTTTTAAAGAAACGCCTTGAAAATGTTTCAAAGTTGAATTCAGCCGAAATCAGCCAGTGTATCAGAGAGTAGCTGCTTGTATGGAAATCAAATAAAGAATGGGATGGTGGGCTCTAGGAATGAAAGCAGGATACGGTGAAAGTGAAGAGGAGCCATCTGTGCACTTAAAACTGTTCTAAAACAAAAGTAATTTTATTGGGTTATCAGAGATGCTTCTAAATCGTAGCTTCAGTTAGGTTGGTGCCTAGGTGCTTATTAGTAAAAGAACGTATTGGTAGTTCCATGTTCAAACAACAAGTGATAAAAAGGATATAGAAAAAGGACATGAAATTACATAAATACCTGTTGTTAAAATTAATAAAAATATCTGAAATTCGCAATGTTTTCTGCCAAAGATGCCAGATGGAAAGCTAAGTCAGAAATACCTCAAAACAGAGTATTTACTTTCTTAGAAAAAACGCCAGTTGAGGAGTAGGAGGAAACCTCTGAAAGCCCATCTAAAATCAGCACTGAGGCTCCTGAATGATAATGCAGAGAGGGGTAGTGGGTAATTACACGTGTGTGTGCGCACATAAATCCAGACTCAGAAATACATACCTCTGTTTACTCCATGGGCAGAGTTCTTGTGAGACAGAGCATTGTCTTCTAAGGAAGAGTGCACTTAAGGCATTGGTCCAGAATCAGCCCAATCATGTTTTAAAATACAGAAGTTTACTAACTTACTCAGTAAATGAAAAGTTCAGTGTGTCAGCACCAGGACAGCCAGTTCAGAAACAGCAGTTGTTTTTTTTTCCTTTGTCACCAAAGTGGCATGGCAATTTCAGTGGAGCTGATTCTGTGACAGGAGGGAGATGTGTGTGGAACCTGATTCTCTTCCCACAGAAATCAGCAGAAAATTGTCCCTTAGGTTTCAGTGGGAGCAGAAAAATCTGTGAGGAGATTATGTCATACCCTTATGCATTTTGTAGATAGATTAATTCAAAAACTTATTGCGACATTTTGTTGTGTTTGCTACTGACTGTTAAAAAAAAAAAAAAAAAAAGTGTCTATTTCAAACGTGTAACCTCTATTTTTCCCTAACTTGCTGCAGCCTGTGTTCCTGTCCTTTCGAATAGCTGCTGGGGCAGGTAAACCTATTGCAAATGTGCACAAGTGTTGTGTCGTGCAGTGATGTGGTGGTAAATATCATCTTTTTCCTTTACGTTTATATTTTCTACATCATTTCCCCTGTGTTTATCTTTCTTTTTAAAAAAATGCCAATTCTGCAACAGGAAAAAGATGCCTACGAAGTGAGAAGATTTTCCGTGAAACCACCCTGTAGGAGGGAAGGCAGCACCCGAAATCCATAATCCCAACAGCTGTATTGATCAATCCAGTCCCGAGTGCCACATTTTTAGACTGCTGATCGTACACTATGCTTCAGCATCTGGACTCTGTTCGAGAGAAGCCTCACATACCTCACTGTCTTGTATGTTCATGTGACATCAAGTAGAAATGTGGAATTATTTTTTATATATATGTCACAGTTCTGTTGCCAAAACTCTAAATAGACAGCAGAGATGTTATGTATTTTAGATTTCACGACCTTCAACTTTTAATAAGTGTTTGTCAATGTGGAAAAGCTATTTCAGCATATTATAAACTTTTAAAGGTATCATGCCTAACATTATATATCTTTACCACTTTGGGGTTTTGTACATTGGACTGTATAGATAGAGATATTGATGGTTTTAAATGGTATTTTCTTTGTTGACCAAGGCTTATGGTTTGTGTTTTAGTTTTAGTATTTTGTTTTTTTCATTTTTATAATTTTTTTCTCATTTTATTTACTATACTGCCATGTTACATGGTTTTTGAATCACACAGCAGCTGCTTTCTATACATACATATATATGTGTGTGTATATATATATGTATGTATGTGTATATATACACAGATATATAAATAATTTATAAACCTGACCAAACTTACGCTAAATATACTTTCCAATATGAATGCTTGAGAGTGCCATATCAGCAGTTAGTGTTGGAGTCTTAGCAGGTTTAGTTAAGTGTACATTGACAACCAACATTTATATAATAAATAATATATAGCAGTGCCATCCTGGATACAGATATATAGCATACTATATAGCACATATATTAGCAGTTTCACTTTGTTACTCCTATAATCCCTTCTTTCTATGTAATATTAAGGATTGAATGTGAAGTTCTTAGCTAGGTTTGGGTGTAACTTTCCAGAATTTTGTAAACTGTTTTTGTCCGTCTTTTGTTACTGTTTTTTGGTGCCAAGTATTCTATATTGAAACAATAACAACACGGGAGAAGAAAAATATAGTCTGCTTCAAGTAGCAACTGTATTGGACACAGACTGTATTTATACAGTGTTAAAGGAAAAAAAAAAAAAAAACAACAACCAACAACCCAACTGTAAATTTTCCTGGTTAGTAGCTCAGTGCAGCCTACAATATAGTCTTGTTACAGACATTTTTCTCCCACCACTAAATACAACATTAAAAGGTGATTAGGGAGTCTGTTGATGAAACACAAATGTATGTTTTATTGATTTAATTTAGAACACTACAGAGTTCATGGACTGCGTGATGGCATTAGATTGATGCTTGATTTTGGTATAAATCACTACCATTGAAAATGATTTGATGTCCGCTTGCAGAGTGTTTTCTCAACAGCACAACCCGGTTTATATCAAGTATCGTTGCCCAAAGGGTGTCTGCAGCTCTGTATTGTTATTGTGCCATGTTGCATTATAACCACACAGTAATTCTATTTAAGCGAACTCAACTCATGATAACTTTGAAGGCCTTTAGAAATGAGTACTCTGGTTCTCAAGCAATAAAACTAATCATGGTGAACGTGGCTGTGTCTGCCCCTTTAATTTGGGCATTGGGGATTACAGGGAAATTATTAAATTGTCACATATCTTATTAATGAGATACCTGTTAATCTCCTGCCAATTAAAAAGGTTATTTTTCACATGAAAACCTGTGTGATAGGATGCAGTTTTGGTGTTAATCGAATCACAATACAAACCACTGAGGATCTGCTGTGGGAGCGCTGATGGAGGGGGATGCAGTTTCACGAGCTGTTCACGAGATGCCAGTCCCCAGCAGGTCAGAAAATGTGCCACCATAAACTCCTTCGTGATTACCTCGAGTTTCAGGAAAAAAACTCCGCAGCCTTTTCCAGCTGGGACCGAAGCCTCGTGTGCAGATGAACTGGCCGGAGCCGGGAGCCACGGGGCCGTCCGGAGCCCGGACCCCTCCGGGGGCGCAGGAGCTGCGGAGAGCTACCCCGAACGGAACCTCTTGAGGTTTAGGAACGCAGCTTTCGCATTTAAACAGCCTCGGAGACGTCTCTGGGGCTCGGGGTTAGCCGGGCCGGGCCGATCCCGGTGCACACGCCGCTGCAGCCCCGGGAGGGCCGAGGAGCGACGCGCTCTGGCTGTGGCTCTGGCCCGGGCCGGGTCCTGCCGAGTCCCTTCGCCGGGCCGCGTCCCGGGGCTGTCGGTCCAGCGGAGCCGCCTCGTCCCGTAACGCGGGGGCCACCGCCGAGCCCGTTTCGTTCAACAGCTGCGGGAAGGGGCAGGTGGGAAGGATTGGGCTCCAGCGCAGGTGTTTTTATCCAGCCATTTCCCCTCAGGAGCCCGGTCCCAGCGCCCCGGCTCAGCGTGCTCACAACCGGGCGAAGATTAATCACTAAACTCGATTCGCTCCCTCCGCGACCGCGGCACAACCGAGCGCGGCCGCGTTCACTGCGTGGGGACCTGCGGGACCCCCCGCCCTCCCCGGGACGCGGAGCTGCCCCGGCAGGAGCGCGGGGGAATGAGCCCCAGCGAGCGGCGGCACCGGGACCGGGGGTGCTCGGCGGGGGAGGCCCCGACCCCCGCCCGGAGGGGCGGGGAGCGCCAGCGGCGGCCGCCGAACAGCACCGGAGAAGGGACGGGGCAGGCCCCGCCGCTCCGGGCCCCTTCCCACCGACGCGGGCCCGTGTCGTGCCCCGACGTGCGCGGCATCTGCGCGGGGGTGATAGCACATCCCCGGGAGCGCGGATAGGGGCGGCCGGGCCGCATCCCTCTGTGGTGCTGAAGGAGGGTGCAGGACCGGGCCCCGCAACCGCCCGGGGAGCCGTCACGGCCCCGTTCCGCCGCGCCGGGGTTCGTGTCCCCGCGCTGGTTGCCGGGCAGTGCCCGCGGTGCGCCCGCTGCCTTTGCTCGGACTGCGAAGCCGTAGCTGAGACACGGGAAGGAAAGAACGTCTCGTTAATTGATTAAAAAAAAAAAAATAAAGCACCTTGACGGCGCGGGCGGCTCAGACCCACCGGGCCTCGCGTGCGCCGAGGGGACAAACGCGGAGCCTCGGCGGTCGGTTCGGACATGGGCTCGCCCGCAGGTGCTGGACCAGGGCCCACGGGCATGTCCCGGGATCCCAGCGGGAAGGGGCGGGAAGGCGGAGGAGCTCGCAGGTCTCCGCCGCGGATCTCAGCGAGTTCGGGTTTTAGCAGCAGCCAGTGCCTGGGCAGCGCCGAGGGACGTGTCCCGGCCTCCACCTCTCCTCCTCGGAGCGGACCCCATCCCCCGCCCGCCGCCGCCACAGCGCTCTGGGAGCCAGGGACCGGCGCTCCCAGCAGGTTCGGGCCGCACGTTCAGCCGGGGGTCTCTCCCCTCCGGGGCCGTCAGAAGGTCCCACAGGGGGGGTTCCCCTGTGGCGGCGAACGCGGCCCCCGAGCGCAGCAGCTCCTTTTCCCCCGCCGAACAGCGCCCAGCACGGGGGCTGCGAGCACCTTCCAGGAGCGCCGGGGTCCCCGGGCCTCCAGGAGCAGCAGGGCCAGGACCGAGAACGAGACACGCGGGAATAAAGTCGCTAAAGGAGAAGCTTGTTAAATAATTTATTGATTTATACAAAGTCTTTTCAACACGTGTGGAGACATTATTTGATCCCAATGCAAAAATCAAATGTCCTTTTCTCTCTCGTGCTTTTTTTTGGGCGTTGTTTTTGGTATTATTAAGCATAAAATCCGGAGGCAGGAGAAATGAAACCGCCAAAACACTGAGGGACAAGGAGTGAAAGAAAACTGCTGTTTTTACACTAGAAATATACATCACAAAATCTGAAATTTACTATATACAAAGTGGCTGAGCTTGGATTTGGCGACCCATAGAAAACGTAACAAAACCTGATTGTTAGGTGCAGGAGACCAGCAGGAAGGCTAAAGGAAAGAGCAGGAACCTTAAAGGGACACAAATAAAACCCAAAAAAGTCGGAAAAATTTCTCTGAAATTTACATCGATGAGAAAGAAAATAATTTCATAACTTATTCTGTAAAAAATATATATACATTTCACATACATCTCAGGCTGTACAACACACCACTTCAAACACCCAGTTACACTCGCCCCATCGCGGCCGTCGGCCCGTGCCCTCACAAGGTGTCCGAGCTGGTGCTGCAGGGGCTGACAAGGGACAGGTTCGTGGATTTGTGCTTTTTCAATAGCCTTGTGATTTTTTCGTCGTCTGAGTTGGGGTCCAGAGGCTTGTTATATTCGTCATCGTCCTCATTGTCCGAGCTCTCCTTCAGCTTCTCCGTCTCCGAGTCGTGCTTCTTCTTCGCCGAGGCCATCTCCGCCGCGTGTCTCTTCCGCCACTTGGTCCGTCTGTTCTGGAACCACACCTGGGCACCGGCACCGGGCACGGCTTAGGAACTGCCTCGGCCCCGCCGCCGCGCCCGCCCCTGCCCGCGGCCGTCCCGACCCGTCCCGCAGCGCGGGCCCGCACTGGGCCGGGGCTGGCGGGGCCCTGAGCGGCTCCGGGGAGGGGACACCTGCCCAGCTCTGCGGGACTGTCGCCAGACGGGGCTGCGAGGCGGTAAAAGCAGCAGCTTTGCAGAGCAGTCGTTAATTTGGAAACAGAATACGGTGGGCAGAAAAATAAGTATTTTTGGCTCCCAGTGCACCCCAACGCTCAGATGCTCATGCGGGCTTTGCTAAAAAATTTGTGGGGTTACGCAAGGTAAAAGTTGTGCCAGCGGACACGATCCTCGTGGAGAAGTGAGCCGTTTAAAGCAATTACCTGCGGGGGGCTTTTTTTTTTTTTTTGGTTGTTGGGGTGGGCATTTTAGAATATATTATGTCTATTCACATTAAATCGTTTGCAGCACAGGGAGCTCTAGAAATTGGCCTAAAATCTACCCACTACCGAAATATAAATTTTAAAGGACTCTTAAAAAATCCCTGTACGGTTGTGCCGTATTCGTGGTCATCGGCAATTACCGAGAGAGCAGAAAGCGGCCGCGGCAGGGAGCGGGAGAAGCGGGAGCCCGCGGGATGGACCTACCTTCACCTGGCTCTCGGTCATCCCCAGGGAGTAGGCGAGCCGGGCGCGCTCCGGTCCTGCCAAGTATTTCGTCTGTTCGAAGGTTTTCTCTAAAGCAAATATCTGCTGCCCAGAGAAAGTCGGTCGAGAGTGTTTCTTCTTACCGTCCTTGTCCAAAACCATCCCGGTCTGAGCTAAAGGCGGAGGAGAAAGAGCTGCGTCAGGGACGGGCTCTGCACCGCTCCCGGCCCGGAACCGGGCCCCGCCTGGCGCTGCGGGGCAGCGGCCGCTTCGGGTATCCGGCGGCCCTGGAGCGGGGCTCGGTGCGGGACACGCCGGGGGCTGCGCGACCGCCACCGGGCCTTCCTGCCGAGCGCCGCGCCCGCTGCCTCGCCGGGCCGCCCGCCCCGTCCACCTCCACCGCCACCGCCCGCCCGCGGCGTGGGGCGCCCCGGATCCGCACCCCAGGCCACCTGCTTCCCCGCAACCCGCCAGAATCGGCTGCACTTACCGGGACAGGCGAGCCGAGGGTCTCTCCAGGGAGAGCCTTGCACCACTCCCGGCCAGAAAATGGGCGGCCGCCCCGGCAGCTCCGCCAGCGGTTTCGGGTAGCGGGAGACGGCGGCGGGGCTGAAGTACATCCCGGCCGAGGCCGCCAGCCCGTTGATGCGGGGCAGCCCACCCAGCAGGTTGCTGGCGCTGCCCACGGGCCGCCCCAGGATGTCGCTTATTCCGTGCGGTGTCCCCAAGGGGAGTTGCGTGTTGAGTCCGCCCAGGGCCGGCGCCTTGAAGCCGGAGGGGTTCTGCAGGGCGTAGGGGAAGAGGGAGGTCTTCATCTCGGCCATGTTGTGCAGCGCGGCCAGCGGCGCACTGCTGAGGACGAACGCGCTCTGGCGATTAGCATCCATCTGCCCCACCGCTAACATCTGCGGGCATCAGCGAGCGCGGCTCCCTCCCAGCCGCGCCGCGGCCGCTCCGCCGGAGCCCCGCGCCGCGGGAGCGCGGCCGCGGGCGGGACGGGCTCCTCGCCGCTCGCAGGATCTCAGCCAAGTACCGAAGTTTGCCGGGAGCAGGAAAACTCCGGCGCTGCCGCGGCTCGGCGGCGCGCGCCGCCAACGTCCAGGCTGGAAAGCGGCGAAAGCCGAACAGGGGGCACCGCGGGAGTCCCGGGTGGAAGAGCCCCCGCGGCGGCGCGTCCCGGCGGGCTGCGGGCCCTGCGCTCCCTGCGCGGTCCGGCGGGAGGGGGTGCGGGTCCGGCGGCTCCGCGCGTGGCCCCGGCCGCGTGTCCGGCAGCGGCGGGGACGCCGCGCGCCCTCCCCGCGCGCAGATAACCGCGCGGGCACCTGCGCGCCCCGCGCCCATTGGGCGGCCGCCGCCCCGCGCCGCCGCCGCCGCCCAATCGGCGGGCGGCGCGCGCCCCCACCCAGACACGTCACGGCCGGGCCGGGCGGGCGCGCGGGGCCGCACGTGGCGGGGCCGCGCCCGACGGGACCCCCGAGGGGACCCCGGGGGGGACCCCCCGACCCCACCGAACGGGGGGCAGGACCCGGCTCCGAGCACCGAGCGGCTCCGGGCAGCGGCCGCGGGGCACAACGAGCGCCGCTCGGGGGGTGGGGGGGGGGGTCCGGCGGCTGCGCTGCCCGGGACACTGGGGCAGGAGGTGCCGCGCGGGAATGCCCGGCTCGATCGCTGCTCTGCCGCGTAATCGGCTCCGTCTTCAGCTGCGGGGCGGCCATTCTCTGGCATAAGAGTCCACGTTTAAAGCAGTTGTAAGAAATGGTCTTATGTGCTGGGAATAATTGGTTTGTTCAACTTGTTGCCTTTTCTGAAACCCTCTGGCCTCGGAGAGGACTTCCCTCCCTCCCTCCGAGACTCGACGGAGGTTTTTAAAGGAAGAAAAACTGCTGTTACATCGTAGCAGAACGAAGCTCGTTCGCACGAATAAAATAACCACAGATATTCCTAATCGAAAGCATGATTAATTGTCAAGAAGAATTCGGATTTTAGGGTTTTATAGAAAATAACTTCGGAAACGGGGCTTATAGCACGTTCTCCGCCTTACAACTGCTTTCTCCTGCGAGTCTGATGCGTTGTTAACCAAGGAAAACAACCACCACATCAAGCGGGGAGCTAAAACTTTTCCAAATGCTCACAAAGTAAACACGACTGGACTTGATCATATCAGAACAATTATTAAAACGCATGGTCCTTTGGATGTGGTTATGTCTGTCATCAGAATCGTTTACAGGTGAACAGGGGTTCCGTTTAACCCGTAACCGTAATGTCAATGTAAATTTGGGAAGTCATTATGCGGGCTCAGTCAATGGTTTTTGGTTTCAGCCGCTGGAGTTACGGGATGTAACAGTCCGTGTGTCTTGTTTTGAGCATCTTTGTAAACAGCGTACAAAGGTGAGATTAAAAACGGCGCTGCGCTAAAGAAGGTTTGATAAACGACTTCATTGCTTTTCCCTCCGTCTGTTGCAAACAGCAGCAGCGCAGGGAGCAGTCACACTGTATCGGGTTCCCGATAGAGCCCCATTAGCTCTGTCCAGGCTCGTCTCCGCGCCGCCTGCGTGCGTTGGGAAGGGGGTGGCGATGCCACCTTGCTCCCTCCGCCCCCGGCGCGGCTCCGGCTCACGGCGCCGTTGGAAGCTGCTGGAGGCGGCCCCGGCGCGGCTGACCAGCCCTCCCGGAGGGCCGCGGGCCCTCCCGGACACTGGTGACAGACCCTCCCGAGCGGGCAGGGGCCGGCGCGCCGACAGCCCGCGGCTTGGCTCGGTCTCCGCCCGCCCGCCCGCGCAGACAGCCGGGCTCGCCCGCGTCCCGCCGCCTTGCCCGCCCCAGTGCGGTGCTGCGGGCCACCGGCGCCTCCGCCCAATGAGCCCGCAGGTGTTGTGCCTTGAATGCGGGCTCCGCAGCGCTGACCGGCTCGGCGCAGCTCACGGGAGGGGACGCCTCCACCCCCGCCCGGGCGGAGGCCGGGCGCTCATCCAGACAGCCGGCAGCCGCTCACCGAGGAGCAGCCAAGCCGGGATGCCGCTGCCGTGGCGGGACCGATGGAACGAGGTAAGAGCGCGGCCTCCGCCGTCCGTGCTGCGGCTGGGTGAGACCGGCCCCCGGCCGCCCCGACGGGCTCTCTCGCCGCCGGCCCGCTCCCGCGGGAGGCTCCTCAGCTTTGGCCGCAGCCGGGAGCGCGCAGACACCCGACGCGCGTCAGCCCCGGAGGCCTCTGGACCTCGGCGGTCGGTGGCCCTGCGGGGACCGCAGCCTCGGGACCCCGGCTTGCCCGGCGTGCTGGTCCCGGGGGCAGAGCCAAAGCCTACCGTCCCGTCCAAAGGCGCGCTCGGAGGCCAGTTGGCAATTTGTATCTGTCATCAGTGACGCTTCTTGCACATTAATGGTCTGTTTGTTCTGTTCATTGACTTTCCCGAAATTTCATACCACTTTTTTCCAGGCGAAAATATGTGGGGTTTATCTCTGCAGACCTCGCGGCGTGATAAATCTACTTTTGTGTCTGGTCTTCCCATGCGGTGTGGCACCGAAGCCACGGGCAGGCATCGCCCGGTGTCTCCGGCTCCGCGCCCCCGGGAGTCACCTCCCGCCCCGCTGCTCCCTCTCCCCGATGCCGCCGGGCCCCAGGCGCTGCCAGGCTGCTCCGGGTACAAGCACTCCCTAACCCTTATGCAACCCCGTTCCGACAGCAGAGCCCGTGCCCCTCGGGGACGTCTCAGCAGCCGGGCAGCCTCCGGGGTCACTGCACCGTCCGCTACGCGAGCCCTGGCGCCGCCGGAGCCGCGCCCGGCAGCCGCTGCTCTCGCAGCGGAGAGGTGCCCTCGGTAAGATAAACCGGGGCTCCCGTCTCCAGGAAGCAGCGGCTCGGCGGCTGCCGGAGCGCCCGCTGTCCCCGGTGCTGCCGAGCGCGCTGCCCGCGGCCAAACCCGCTCTGGCAGAGGAGGGTTTCTCGGGCGGGCATAAACCAGCTCGAGGCCTTTGCGAGGGACGGTGCGGGCTCCGGGACAGTCCGCGGCGCTGCTTTCGGGAGGCTCATTTCGGCAGAGGAGAACAGGGCCGAGCCGCGGGCAGCACCGGCCACGGGCCAGGACCCGCCACGGGCCGGGACCCGCCGCCCCCCGGCCCGGCCCGGCCCGGCCTCGCCCGCGCCCCCTGGCGGCCTCGGGCGCGGGGCGGTTCGTCCGTCCTGCCCGCCGCGCTCCCCCCGAACTGCCCGGTCTTATCTCGCTCCCCCCGAACTGCCCGGTTCCATCTCGCTCCCCCCGAACTAGCCGGTCTCATCTCGCTCCCCTGGCCGTGCCCGCTCCCGCCGCTGTTCCCCGCACCGGCTGTGCCGTGGCAGCGACGGGACGGGGCGGAGGGGCCGCAGCGATGCCCCCCGCGCGGTGCCGGGGTCGGGCTGTGGCGGGGCAGACCCACGGCACCGACGGACTCGCCGGGCGCGGTTCCAGGCGGGGCAGGGAGCGAGTTTCCACCGGTTGAAGTTAATGAGCTTTTTGCTTTGCCCGTGGCATGAATAACGTTTCCTACAAATGGCATAGAAACAAAACTGAAGTTACTAACATCCAATTCGGCTGGGACTGAGCCATTCTAGCATCCTCAGAAAGGAGTATTGCAGGATGTAGACCAGTATTAAATGCTAAAGTACAAATAACTTAAGACAAGTTCTGTTTAACCTTCTGGTCACTTGTTTTTGTCGTGTGTACACCCAGAGTACCTTTTCTTGGAGCTGCTGTGCAGCTGAAAATGTCTGAGAGACTGTGGACTAAAAGAAAAGAAACCACGAGTAAGAATACTTTTTGGTTTAGTTTTATTGGGTGTAAATGCATGTGCTTTCTGTCTCTATGACTGCAGGGAAGTCAGATGCACAGTACACAAAAAGATCCCCCAGTGTATTGTACTTTATTGCAAAGTGCAGTCCACGTAAAACCAGAGTGACTGGGGGAGTGGGAGCTCAGAGCAGCTCTCCACACGGGCTTCCTTTCCTGAGTTATTCTGCTGCTGGTGGAGGTAGGAGTGAAGGAGGGAGGGACATTGTATTGTTGCGTGGACTTAAAATGTTAGTGACAAGAGAGCGGTAAAATCCCTGTCCTGGCCCTGTGATGATGCTATCTGCCTGCGTTGCTGACAGTATGGATGCTGCTGCTTCAGAGCATACCTAAAGGAGATCCTTGTGTTTAAAAATGAGAGGTATTTTGATCTAATAATGCAGTCACTAGAAAATAAAGTCATTTTAGACTAGATGATCTTTGTTGAAACATCTTCACAGGATGATGTATGTTCTGGGAAAGGCCATATTTAATATTTTTCATTATTATCCTTGGCACAAAAAGTAGGAATATGCTAATGGTGCAGAGCTGAGAGTCCTCATCAGTCTGGTGTAGCACACAAGAGAAACTGGGTGACCTTGAGAACAGTGTCACAAAAATGTGAAGAAACATAAAAATGCAAAAATGAAGTTATTGCCTTAGAGTGCAGTATAATTATATTATTGTACTTAGGACAAAATCCAAACCAACATTTCATACAGCTGTGGTAGAGTTCAGAGTCTCACTTTTAGGAGAGAGATTTGCCGATTTTTTTCTTCCCTGTGGGCTTGAAGTTGCAGAGAACAGAAATTCTGTGCCAGTGCATGCCCAGCCATCTTGGCAGAGCTGACCATTTACGTGCTTGTCCTGGATCTGCTTGAAGTGGCAGATGAGGGTGAAGTTCAAGACAGTTGAAGAAAAACAGTTATGTGTCAAGGGGGTCAGGTTTAACAATCTGCACAATCCCTTTCTCCCTCCAAATCCTATTTTCTGTTTCCCATTGTTGGTCCGCCAGGCAGAGGCAGCAAAGGCCCGAGGTGCCAGGCAGGTTCCTGCTGGGGTGGGTCGTTCCTGCCTGCAGATGGAGCAGGTCTTTGGTTTCAAGGCTAAATGAGGTTTGTTGAGCTCCCAGCAAAGGATGCTGTGGCTGAGGGCGAAGTGGTGCCTTCCATAAAATCAACCTGCAAGAGGATAAAAAGCCCTCCCGTGGGCTGATCTGCCTGCAGTGCATTTGCTGTAGGCAGCATCGTTAGTTTAGTTAGTTCAGTTGGTTAGTTTGCCATCAAGCCACCTGAGTTTTATGACACTTTCAGAAAGCCAAGGAATGCACA